AGAAACACTTAAGTGAACTTGAGAACTATGGGACCTACAACTCTAGTCACATCCTGTAAAAGATATAAAATAGAAAACTCTCTAACTTAACTTAAAGAGTTTTTACATATGATGTTATACTAAAATATCCCAATATACCAAAATATCCCACTGCTTAAATAATAAAACCCCAACCCCAATCACACACTCTGATAGTTCAATATTCTATTAATATTTATTAACTTAATACATTATTTAAACGAATCTCAGAATTATTTGGATAACAGCCTGGAATGAAAGCTCTTTATAGAGCTACTGATTGCCCTGATATACAAGGACTGGAAGCAAATTTACTGCAGCATTAACTCAAGTCCATAAAAGAGATCTTAATGTGTAAGTCAGTTTTGACAAAAAATTAACAACTTTTCATAAAATCACAGACCTATACATAAAGTAGTATACTACTTCAGAAGCTTAACTGCAGATCTAAAATATCAATGCTATGGATCCAGTTGTTAATGCATAAGTATTTGCATAATTAGAAAGTTTACAAAAATAATGAGCATACCTCAAGTATCTTTTCATCCAGTTCTGATTACGGTTTACCTGAGGATTCTTCTTCAGGTAGTCTCACAAAATTTATACAGCAAAATTTATCTTCTAAAGGCAGTCAACTGGAATCAAAGTACCATGCTTCCATACTACATCTATCTTTAAAATAATCAAAGAAAATACATTTTTTTAACATAAGAGGGCAATTACTGGCTTTTAAGATCTGTGAAATGTCTTCCCTTCAATTATGTCTGCACAAAACTTGTATGGAACTTGGAAAAACTGGAATAAGCTACTCCACTTGATTCCAGATTTTAAAAAAGGCAAGTCACAGAATTTCATGCTGAACCTTAAAAAAGTTACAGAAACATAAGCATCAATCATCTGCCCAAGTTCTGCGACTCTAGACAGTACAGTCAGCTGTCTAGTGCCAACTAGAAATTTCTTATCCAGAAGAGCTGCTGTTCACCTCAATCCTTTCAGAAGCTAAGCTTGAACAAAGGCCTAAAAAAACATTTTAAAAAGGCTTAACTGTCGATGTTCAAAAGAACCACAGTAAGTCTGTTGTCATCATGTAATTCACAAAAGAAGGTGCAGTTCAAGCTAAAGGCAGCTTATCACTGAAAAGTGATTAACAATAATTACGAAGGATATCAGTTGGAAAACAAAGAAACTGGAGACAAATATGTTGTCAGAAAACAGGGTTTTTAGGAGATGACAAGTTTATTTATAAACTGTCAACATTTAACAAAAACAATTTTACACTATTTTCCATTTTCTACAGAAATACAATAACTTACAGTGGTGCTTAGTCCATTTTGTCACTAATACATATAAAAACAAGTCTGCCAATAAATAAGTGAAAAAAATCTATTTACCAACCACCACCACTAAAATTGTACCTGTAAATTTTGGAAGACATCTGCATAGAATAGTTAGAACTGTAAGGGTGCCTTTTATTATTTCGTAATTAATTTTGTACTACTAGGATATGAAAAAAGTTAATTAACATGCAATACAAAAATATTTGAGATAAACAATGTAAAACTCAGTGTGCACAACAGGAAAGTAGTGCTAAGATGCCCTTCTATGTTTCTAAATAAACATCAGGAAAATGCATGTTTTATATGGTGGAATTTCAACTTCCCTTCACAGCAAAACTAGATTTATAACCATTTATACTTGGTTAGGTTCCACTGAAGATGGACTAAAGATGTGGTGAGAATTATCTAGTACTAGATAACAACGAATAATTGTAGAACATCTCAAATCAACATTATGTAGATATATTTTAAAAGGTAAATTTGCTGTTACCTAGTTATAAGGATTTGTGAGATGAAAGGTGACAAATGTGCAGTTTACTGTTGATCATAAATGTAGACAGCATGCCTGGAGAACAGCAATGCTTAGGCCATCACTATTTATTAAAACTTTCCCCCTTCAATATTGCATCAATTATCACATGCCACTTAAAAGATTACCAGTCATCCCTAAATATCTTGCATAAACCTCGGGCATCTATCTGTATGATACTGATATGCAATATTTCCAAAACTAAAGTGTTACCTTAGTTTGCACACAGGCATATTGTATGAAACCTTCTATCACTAGAAAAGATTTAAAAAAGCACAGGGGCAGGGGAGAGAAGAGGGGGAATGGCCAGGGGGGGCAGAGGTGGGAGAGAAGGGAGATAAAAATAGAGGGGGTAAAAAAAAAGAGAGAGGACAAGGAAGCTTTCTCAGCTACTGATACCCTGTAGTACCCTTCATTTTTCTCTAGCTGCCCTTTTAAAATGAAAACATTCCACAGCCTTAACAGCTTCTTTTTCACAACGCTGATGAGCATACACTACCCTAACTGTTCTTTTCTTCACTGAAGCCATTAATATGACAATTCGTTAAAGACAAAGAAGTCACTTAAAATTGATCACATTAAATATGTCCTGGCTATCAGATAGTGGCTAATACCCCCTCCACAGCATGGCCTGATCCTATGTCAATGAAGTCAGTGAGAGTCTCATCACTCACACTAACAGACGTAAAAACAAAGCATCCAGATTAAAAACAAACTTATAACCAGATCCTGTAAAATAAACTGGAGGGTTTATTACTTGCTTTAAGCTTTCTGATTTAATGAACATCCAAATTAAATAAAAGATTGTCCTTATCGTTTCAGGGCTTCCTTACATACTCCCTCTACCTAGCAGCTAGTAAGAGGAAAAAAAAAAGTGTATAAGTAAAACATGTCCTTGCATTTTTAAACTTTGCATTTAGGATGACAAGCAATACCTTCAGTAGTGCTCTATGATTTTAGGTGCTCATTTTAGAATGAATCACATTGTCTAGGAGGAGAGAGGAAAGGTGCTAGCATTTTCCAATAAAATCGATCCCTTTAAGAAAAGCTCTCAAATCCAGTAATTCAAAATCAGAAGGCATTCAAAACAAAGAGTAATTCCAGAAATATTTTTGATGTGATTTATTTTTATAAAAAGAACGTGCAAAAATATTGAAAATTAAGTACCAAAAAGACTAGTTGTTGTTTGTATTGAAATACCAATTCAAGTTGCTAGTTTGTGTCTGACATAGTTTTCTCAGCCTCCTGTGATGCTAAAGCACTTCATCCAAAACATGCCTATTCATTTCCTTTCTGGAGGACTCCTAGAAGGTATCCCCCCAGGAAGGTCATTGGCTGAGTGCTGCCCAGTCCTCCTAGCTTGCAAGACCTTACAAACTCTCTCACAGTCTCAAACACTTCCTACACCACCAATAATGATTTGTTTGGTGTATGCACACATTTGCCCAAGTATCATGAAAATTAGGCAGAGTAAGACAGAGAGGGGAAGTAAGAGATCTCGTTGCTTTCAGCAAACAGCCTGGTACTGGCACTGATCCTGCTAGATTCAGACTTAGATCCTTCACGGAAGAGTCTGGTTGCAGATCACCAGTGCTGTATAAAAACAGCCAAATGTGGGAGATTTTTGCAGTTTTCACAGGACATAAATACAGTTCCGCCATCCATTCATTCAAACATACATGCACACTTACTGTGGGAGAATAAATATAGATAATTTATTCACAAATAAGCTCTTTACTGATTACAAAAGAAAGAAAACAATCCCCATCTGACAGGAATTCATCCTGTGACAAAGTAAGACCAGTGAAAAACACACTTAATGCTTTACATTCACTATCCTGTAGAACACTGGTCCTTTAGCTGATTACTTTCCAGTGTCTGACAGTCCTGTCATAATTTTATTCTTTCTGCTACAAAATTTACCATTTCTCTAATTTATCTTGGAAACCTACGTAAGATTTACAATGGTCACAGCTGTGCATCTGAGCATTTTTCATAGAAAATATATTGCAAAATATTATGTTTAAAACTAGCTGTATATCCCCTTAATAAGAAAGCTGTGAGAGTTAAATATTTTTTGCACATATCTTGATAAAATAAGCATTTCCCTAAATAGAATAGTATTTTGATGAACATGACAGTATTACAAAATTAGTGTTTAATGGCTCACTTGAACATTGTAGTGCTGTCACTACCTTGGATCTTAATACTACTTACAACTACTTAAGACATATATTATTTTGATTATATGAAAGTAAAGAGGACATTCCCAAGCGCACTTTTCAAGATGACTACCCAGTTTTAAATGCATCCATTTCAAAAAAGAAAAACTGCTACAAAAGGGAATAAACACAGTAGGTATAAATATATTTTGCCTTCTAAAAACAAAATCTAGTACCTTGTATCATTTACATTACTTTTTTAAATAACAGGTAATAAATACTCTGTTAAGAAAAAAGCCCAGTCACTTTATCTACTCATTATACACAGCATTCAGAAAATCTTAATGTATTAATGATGTACCAATTTCATAACTTTATTCACAATGAACATACAGGTGTACCTCATCCAAGAAAAGCTTTTTGTTTCATCATAATTATATTCTGTTCAGAAAATGTCCTGTGAACAAAACAGGCACCTCACTGTGGGGTCTTCCCACCTCTGTACAATAGGACTTACAGAACGTTCCAGATGGTGCAGATAAAGATGTTTAATAAACTAGACTTCAGTTAAGAGTTCTGCTTGTCAGAATAACTCTGCTGTACGTAAGAGTCTGGCAGCTATTAAAAAAGCTTTTGCAGTTCTAGCATTCATAGTCCTAACAAAAGATTTAAAAATATTAAATCTAAGATGTATGGTGAATCAACACAGATACTGTTAAATACTTCTCCACCATTACAACATACCCCTTTGAGATACCGACTATTCTACTGAATAGTACTAGGGAACTCAGAGAGGACATCCTGAAGCTGTCAGGAGCTTCCTGCAAGCTTGCAACAGCAATTTAAGATAGAGAATAACAATACAATGCAGACAAAATGGTAAGCTCTACTGCAAATCACTGGGTAGATATAAAATACCAGTTATTACATGTTTAGCTTTCTTTTTTTTTTTTTAATCAATAATTATAAATAGTAAAAATGTACTCTAATTCACTACAATAGACTATGCCCTGAGAAGTAACATTACACACTAAGTAAAAGCCACTAGGAAGTGTCAGGTCTGTAATTTGAAAGAGTAATACAATGAACTCCCTGGAAGCACATATTTCCTCCATTTTTTAGCAATATTTTGCTTCTTCAGTGGAAAAGACTAATGAAAAGTTATGCTAATTCTAGATTTTCCGACTTTAAGTACATGATCTTTTTATCTTTTCTCCTTCAAACTCTCCCTGGGAAACTAGATGGCTTCAAAAAGCTCTTGCTTTTCACATATGAAAGAGAATATAGGCCTAGCATGAGGTTCTGAAAAAACTGAGCCTGATGAACTCCACTTAAGGACATCAGTCAAAGTACTTTTTGGGAGGTAGTCAGAGTTATATAAACACAAAATTAGGCCACCTCACCAATGCTTTGCTACATTCTTCTTTGCTGCTTGGAAGAACAGAGAAGAAGTTGAGAAGAAAACATACCTCTGAGTATATGGGCAAAAACAGAAGGAAAATTATCTTAGACAGGGACACTGAACTTCCTTTGAAAGTACTTTGAATGCTAAGTGCATTTGAGAACAGGTGAGCTACACCCTTTCCTCTGTATCTGACACTGATAAAACAGTAAGATCTAATTGTAAATATGCCACCAAATGAGTATACGAGAAAGATGCATTTAGAAGTCACATCTATGTTTCACTTCACTGTTTTTTCCAAAATTGCCCTGTAAGATACAATTCAGCAGTTGTAGGCGTTTTCCCCCACACTGTAAGTGCAATGGTTCATGTCCTACTAGACTGAAAAAAACCCCAAACAAACAGCATTCTTTCCTCACAGAAGGTAAAATACAACTAAGCAAAAAACCTTGTCCAAAAATTAAATCATTAAATCTCTGAAGACTCACAACTTAAATTATTCTCTGGTAGTCACATTTTGTTCATTGTATTATATGTTATTCTGAAAGAGTATGCTTGTTGAGTCTGGCTATGCAGACAAACCCTTCCAAAACTCTTTGTTTCTATCCATCAATATTATACAGTACTGTTTTAAAAATTCATTAATTATCTATTTAGGAAAAAAACCCTCACCCCCATCCATAAAGTCTAGCTATACATTCTAATTAAGCAGCACTAACACAAAATTGGAAATGCCAGAAATTTTGATTGTAAGACAAAAATCTAAGATTTCTATCTATATTACACTTTGTTAATTTGTCCTAAAGCAAAGTACATATAAGGTAATTAATCAAATATCATAAACCGACAATTTAGCTTATCCCCTATTTAAATGACACATGAACTTTGTTGTATAAATATATAGGAAGTCAATAAAACACAAATATGCAGACATGAGTAGATTAACAAATATTAATCAGTGCAGCTATAGCAATGTGTTCCAATAAGGTCATACAGGTTTGTTATTGTAGTTATCTTTAATGCTGCACATGTTTCTCCAGTGACTGTAACACAAAAGACAAACCAAATGTCATTGAAATAACAGTCAATGTATTTAGCAGCTCAGAATTCGATCCCTTAAAAATGCAACTCCTTCTATTCCAATCTCTGTAGTTTTAAATTACATTTGTTCCTCAAACCCCTTTGTTTCTAGTACAAATTTCTACAAAGCAAAAACAGCCTGCATCAATTCAAATGACACATACTACAGCATATGACAAAATCAGGAAAGATGCTGAACATTACATGAAGATGTTTACAGATGTGCAAAGTTTGTTTTTATATCTGAAGGAACTTCTGAGAGTAAGAGCCTTGTATTCTGCAGCTTCTGTTGGACATTTTCTCCTCAAGAATGTTCACTGACTACATTTTTAGTTTCTGATCTCCAAAACACAAAACAGTGGATACACTTTACTTAAAGAAAGCATATTCAGTAACCTTTATATGTGTTAACTACCAATGGACCGAAGCTACTTCTCTTTTTTTTTCAAGCAGCACCCAAATGGGACTCTGCAATACTGCCGAATGGCCAGATAGGTATGTGGCAAAGATCAGTTCTGAGCTTAATGAAACTTGTTACAAGTATCTCTTCAATCATTTCATGTATGAGGCTTCAGGACACTGACAGCTTGAAGAATTTAGATATTATTTTCTTCTTTCATATAATTTATATTGTTACCATAAAGCTTGAATTTAACAGCTTATTGTTTGCATTTCTTTCAAAGCAAAAAAACATGATTTGTTTCAATTTCACTGTTATTGTTCAGTTTTCTGTGTGGCAGAGCCTGGTCTGCAAACATTTCTAAATGTAACTATTCTTACTGGATTTAAAAAAAAAAAAAAAGTGTGGGGAGTATTTCCATCAGGTGCAGACTTTGAAAATCCACTCTTAAGAGCTATACTACAGCCATCAGTGTTTTGCAAAAGTAATAAAAATATCAGCACCATCTCTAATCAGAGTATTCAGAACATTTTCCAAGTATTAAAATTCAATGCAACTCTTTTCAGTTACATAGGACCAAGTCTTGTCTTCCTATGAGTATGCATCACTTACATGTGTATTATCAGAGCATCTGTGTAAATGTTTATGGCGGAAAGATTGTCAAATTCAGTAGCACTGAACTTCCACAGTACAGCTCTAATAAAGCTAACTAAGACTCCAGATTATAGTATGGAAGAAGTATATAATAGGTTTCAAGTCAGATTCTAATGTTATTATTTTCCTCTAAAAGCCTCAATCATTCCAGTCCAAGAAGAGAGCATCTCTTCCTTTCCATAGTTCAAGAAATACTTCTTATCATGTTCCCACTTCTGAGGCTGCTCCTACTACTAATATTTTTCTCACAAATAGGTAATTTTTGCCAAGGCAAACAACACACAACTACGTTACTAAGTAGCCCAGGACCAAGAATGTGATCCTTAATACTTGGTTTCACACCTTCTGGGTTCGCACAAGTCATTAATGGGATACTGTTAATTAATGGGATATTGTTAATCAAGCTGACACATGCTACCATACATAATATATCATCCATACTCAAGGAATATCAGGTCCTCTGAGATGGGTAAAAGTTCTTGCTCAGGTTCTTTAAGTTCAGACTCCATTTGTACCTGAACCTACCCATTTATTAGTTATCACAGAGGCAACATCTTATGACAAAATTATCCTCTCAAGCCATTCCCACACCTCCTTCAGACAACAACAATGTTCTTCTGCAACTACAACCATCAATCAAGACAGCATCCCAGAGCACTTCAAAACAAATGACCAAACATCCCTAGCTACAGAGAGGCAGGTGCGGATGCCCTCTGAGACAAAACTTTGACACGGAGATGCTCAAGCCTAGATCCATCTTATCTAGGTACCGTAAACAGAACAGTAACAGTGTATACATATAGAAATGTCTTTGTTAGCTATTCTGTGCCTGAAATGTGTCACAAACACACTCTCAAAGACTACAGATGGTCTGTTTTCATTCTGAAATGCAAGAGTAAACCCCATTCAAACTATTTAGAAGTGCTGAAATTCCATATTTCAAGTGCCTTTCTTTTCATTTGAAATGATACCTTTTGAGCAGGCTACCTGTGTTTTTCCTCCCTCATTGTTTCTCTCTCTGTGCAACAGAAACAGCATCTTGAAACTTCATCATGGTCAAGAGGCATTTTGGCCAGGAGATATATACCACAATTCTGATGAGGACACTAACTTGAAAACTGAGTCCCCTCAGTGAATAGGCTGATTTTAAAAGAGGCCATGTTGTCATTGTACAGACTTCTACAACCGTAGAATGTTTCCCCCAGGTCTCTAGATCAGTACAATTCTACTAGTGTAAAAAATCCCTTATGCAGACAAGTTCTAAGGAAATGACAGAATACACAAATGTATTTAATTTATAATTCCCTTCAAATTTACAGTTATGTTAACAGAGATGTATGGTTGGAGAAGAGCTCTTAAGGAAGAGTAAAGAAGATAAAAAAAACCCCAAACACTGAAGCTCAAAGAACAAAAGGGAAGAGATAGCTTCCTCCTGCTGTCACTTTCTTTTTTTTAACTGTATAGTCTCAACAACCAGTCAGAAGATTTAGTTTTTACTCCATCAAATATTGGCCTTGTACAGTCTTGGTTAAGTACAATCAGCAAAGTGCGATTGAGGAGGCTGAGATTCTGTAGTGAACATAATACATTCAGAAACGTTATCGAGTGTGATTAATTCTGGATTGTTGAGATAAAATAAATAAACACCAAGTAAGGAAAGAAAGTAGTCTGTTTTAAGAAAAGTACTTCCAAATACAGCTCTAAGTGTGTGAAGATGTGTTTGAACTATTTTCTGTCACGTTTTCTTGTGTCAGGATTTCAACTATCAAGCTAACATGACAACTAACAAGCAAACAAAACCCCAGTTAAAACAGTAAAAGGCATGATGGCTCCAATATTGTTACTGGAGCCTTGAGAAAGAAACACTGCAGTCTGGCGTTCTACCAAAGGTTCCTAATACAAAAATAATAGCACTCACCGAATACAGTCTGGATCCAATAAGGTGTTAGCATGACACCACATAGTAAAGAGGAACACCCTGGAAACAGGTTTAGTTGTTACTGACAGATACTCTCATCCTTTTTTCAGACACTGATTCACAAGCATTTCAGACTTTTCTTCTTTTACCTCTTTTGTTTTTTAAAAAAGTGTAATGATTCAGAGTTAACACAGAAGTAAAAAGTAAGAAAATGTCACGGTACGAAGCTGACAGAGTGGTTTCTTAAAAAGATTAAGGAACAAACTGCATTTGGTAAATAAAAAGGTATGCCAGTTTTTAATAAAGTGACAGACTTCTACTCTGAATTTGAACTTTAGGACTGACCATCAAAAGAGAGAGAAACACAAGGTTGGCTAACACTTGCAACCAAGACATGCATTTGTGTCTGAAAAGAGAATATTGCACTAAGAAAAGAACCCTGAAAGCTTTAAACACTTCCTTCACTGACTTAAAAATTTAACTAACCATTTCCTATAAGCAGTAGCAAACCTGGCTTGGTCCACATCCCTACAAGTTGATAATACTTTATCAATGAACTGGTATTCCATTTCTGGACCAAGAGAGTCCTGCACAGGAGCGCGCTTCAGGCGTTTTGTTTCTTGTGTATAACCTTGTTTGCTGCTGGATTCATTCAAACCATCAACATCCATAGCTTGAGCCATGTGACTTGTTGCAGGACTGTGGTGGGAATTATTCAGAGTCTCATCACTGCTGTCCGCAGATGATACCACTGCACTCAGAAGAGGAAATTTGTTGTTTAGGTGCTGTTGAAGGTAGAACACACACCTTCTTCAAAGGAAAAGGAAAGAAGAAAGAAGAAAAGAAAAAAGTCATGCACCGGAAATAACCTGCTGTTGCTGCTAAACTGCTTCAAATCATTTGCCATCCCACCAGATTCCCCCACAGACAAAATCTGCTGTCACTGCTCACGAAAAGGGCTCAATGTCACTTAGGCAAATCTGCTCTTATCTAGTCAGGAACCTGCACCCACCTAGTAAAGCACAGGTTTTCTGCAGCTACTCTATCTTCTGTCTACCTTTTGCTCATCTTTTGTCCTTTAAACATTTAAAGTGTGAGGATGCTCCTAGCAGTATCTTGTGTCTCTTGCACAAAATACAGGGACAAGCAGAATTTCAATCAGCAAGATACTTAAGCCTAATCAATTTTTCCATGCAATAGTTCTGATTATGTTCTTGAATATTTTCCAAAGGCTTAAGACATGGTAGCTTAAAAATTTTTGTTGAGTGGTACTTTTAAAAATCAGAACAACAATTTGTTTGGAAATACCAAGCAAAGAACAATCCACAAATCAGAAGCAAACTCTTTCGACCAAGTCCTCTTACCTATGACACCACAAGGTTTCATGCCCTGGGTAATTATCAATCAGTTCAGTGCAGAGCTCCATCTCTTCCTCCAAACGGCGGGGGAGATCCACGCTTTGCTCCTCTGCACAAGCAGCTTCTGTCCCTGCACTCTCCTGCTCCTTCTGAAGGTTAGGGTTTTGTTCATTTACCAGTATGTTATTGTCAGTCACAGTTCTGCCTATCAAGGAATTGAGTAAGAACTGGCGATAATGAAATCCACTATGGTCCGAGACATGCATGGATACCCAATATTTAGTGGATGAAAGTTCATCAAGGAGAACCTGAAACAAAAAGCAGGGACATTTACAACCAGCATAAAGAAGGAACTTGCCACCAATGCTTCTGCATCCTTGCAGAAAAGAAATCAATACTTCTTTCAAACTCTGAAAAGATAAGTTTCTCAGAAACCTAACCACAGGCTGATGTGAAAAAAACCACAAACTACTTATAATAAGAAATAAGCAGTGGTTTAAGAATTTCAGAATGGTTAGGAATAAATAGAGAAGGCAGAGGTGGTACACCAAACTACTGATACTAGTAATAAATCACTGATATTAGTTAAAAAAAATTTTACTTTTTGCCTAGGGCATTGTGGATGTCAGAGGGTGGGTGAGTTACTTAAAAAGAAAAAAAACCCCTTAAATTAATTTACGCCTTAATTTTCCAGGAAAGAATGTCAATCAATAGCATTATGTTTCAAGTCCTAGAGCCTGTGGAATACAAAACTATTTGTCCATAATCAGGTTGCTTGACTTGGTAATTGATGAACCCCTAAAAAGGGTTTCACAATAACTCTGGTAAATAATTATACTGTTGATTGTAGCTCTGTTTAAAACACTTCTGGAATAGAGAATTTTCCCTTAAGTCTGAATGCTTTTAAACCTTCAAAATTAATTTCTGGAGAGACAGGCAAGTTTGGCTACCAGACAAAGCTTCTTTTATTTTATTTTCTCCATTAGAGCTGGTGGTTTCATTTTGTTACAGGGCTTAACTTCCTTCCTTACATTGCTCCTCCTACAAAGTTTAAACTCTCCAAGGACATCAAAATTACGCTTTTCATTTACTTCTAAAGACTTTGAATAGAATCTTACTGGTATACTCTTGCTTTTCATCTTTTCTCCTAAGCTACCTATATCACTTAACAGGACCAGCTGATGCAAAGCAACTTTCATAGGGAGAAGTCTTTCTTTTTTCTCCTGCAGCACAAAAGACAGAGCCTCCCACAAAGAAAACCACGGAAACACACAAGGTTAGTTATACACCTTTTTGTGGTGCATTTGTTCTAAAAGAAATCAGAGCAAATACAAACAGTGTAAACAGTGCCTTCTACCTGAGATACACAAGGTGGTTTTTTATATCTTGACAAGAGATATCAGCATTGCCTTCCTTTGACAGATCAGCAAACTAAAGTGCAGTATTAAATAACAGCCCACACATGCAATTCTTAAGGGGACTAAACCTCTCCATCTCTAGTTCTGCACTTTAAACCATAAGATCAGCTTCTCCATTTTCAGCAGAATTAAGCTTACTGTTTTAAACTTCTGAACTTTGAAATTGTCGAAGAATAACATGAGGCTCAGAAAAATCAGACCAGCCTTTATTCAGCAGGAATTGATACTATGCACATAATGTCCAACCTAGATCTTGGAATAATCAATTCAATTATCTGACATAAGCTGCAAAGTTACAAGGGAACATTTTAATTACTAAATTGCATTTTAACTCCCTGTACAAAGGGAACAAAATGATTCAAGGATCACTCCTTACCTGAACTAGAAAACCTCTTTTAAAAAAGCAATACAGAAGATTGCCGTTAAAACCTCTTTAGACCTACAGAAAACCAAAGCCTCTCATGTAGAACCTCAGAGTAACAGCTGAAGATGCTTCAAACACTGGAAGCAAACAATAAAGCAAGCTAACGTCTGAATTCCAACAGAGGTTTTTTGTATCAAGCCAGTTTTCTCCATTTCCACACTGAATAGCACAGGCCATTTGTCATTGTTCTGAGAAGCAAACCGTATGAAAACACCTCTGTCTCCACTCTTGATAGCCTCTCACAAAGGGCTGTCTTCTACCTTCAGAGGTGAGCTGAGTACCATGGAACTGGCATCCTCCTCCAGAATAGGACATATGTGCTCAGTGACCTCTGTCTTAACCTCTGGGTCTACACTCCCTCCTACACCCACCCTGACCCTATGCTTGCTTGTTTTAAAGTGCTTATCCAACCATAAACTGCAGCTCCAAATTTCCTCTCTGGTCTGGGGCACTGGGGAAATGAAAAGGAACTGCATCTGGGGAAGAAAGATTTTAAGGATAACCAGATAAATATGGCAGTGTCCACTTGCACAAAAGACAAGTACCTCTGGAGGCCCAGTCATGTGAAAAACAGCCAAGGCCTTACTGGGGATGTCTACAAGAAAAATTACTTTGTGTCTTATTAACATATTTCTATCTTCTGCTTAGGAAAACAGTTTGTTTGGTTTTTTTTGACAAGAAAATTCAAGACTTTATTCACTATTGTATTATACCTTGACAGTCAACTTTGCCAAATGCTGTAGAACCCAAATGCGATGGGACCAGGCATTGTAGTTGCTTGGATATCTCCCAGCAGCTTCAGAGCAGACATTCATTTCCTCCTGCACTAGTCGGTGAATTCTCTCCACAGGTGCTGCTCCCAGGTTTCCTTTAGTCGCAAGACTTGGCAAGGAGTTTTCCTGAATTAGTTGTTGCAGCACCCATCGTCTGGTTAAACGACGTAAAGTGTTAAAGGGGAGAGAGCAATTTTAAGAGGAAAAAAAAGGTTTTTCATTTATATAAATCAAATCTTCCAATACCTCAATTATCTGAACTACACTCTAGCCAGATAAGAATAAGCAGTAAACATAACCATCTGAATGCTTCCCATACTGAAACCTATGACATTATGATCACGCCCCAACATAATTTAACTCTGGCTTTAACTCTAACAAACTGTATGAGTTTGTTCTCTCTTAAGTTGTCATGGCTACTTACAGCATACAGAAAAAAACCAGAAGGAAACAGTAAATTTACAAAAAAATGCACACTGTGCACATGAGATTTCTCATGAGCTCCTCTTTCAAAGTCTTGCATAGCACTAACATGAAGTATCCATCAAGAGACAGAAAAAAGTCACTCAACAAAAAATTAACTCTGCTTTGTCAATATTTTTTACATCTGACAGTACTGCACGCAGCAAGTCAAATTAGTTTCTGTACACCACCAGAAGTAACAAAGTGCAAAATGCTTACAGGTTGAAGGGCTATAGGTATAAGCAAAACAAATCTTTTTATTGATGAATTACGCATATTTGATTTCATGTGACTGAGAGAAGCACAAAAGTCTAGATTTATTTTTTTTAATTTACTCTAGACTGACTTTTAGTAGTATTTTAGTAGTATTTTTACAGGCAACCTCAATGCTGCATAAGCCATGCCTCTGCAGCCCCTACACAAAAGGGTCCTACAAAATCAGATCACAGACGTGTAAATTTCCACGGAACAGCACATGCCAACAGAATTCCAATGGTCCCAAGTGGAATGCTCTGGAAAGCCAGACATCCTGTTGTCTGCTACACAGAGGTATTTCTGTTTTGTACTGGCTAACAGCAGTTCCAAGATCAATTAATAGCAACTTTCAGAAAATTGTCACTCCTGGTTAAAAGAAATCAATAACTAAAATAAAAATAATAAATTCATTTTTTTAAACAGAGAATTCTATTTTGCCAGTCATACACGAAATTGTGTGTGTGTGTATATATATATATATATACATATAAAGTAGACAAGTCAATTTTTTTATTTAAAAAAATAAAACTGGTAATCCATATGCTTTCTTTCTCATTTGAAAACATTTATAAAATACTTGTTTGCTGTTTTTTTTATTTACAGTGTATCTTTTTCTCCTGATTATTAAAAAAAAAAAGACTTAAAATACTGGAAGACAATATTAAACATAAATTATAAGAATACATTTTTAAACTGTGTTTGTCAGCAGAAATCAAAAGCAGTTTATGAACACTTTCTTCCTATATAACATTTGTTTTAACTAAAGACGTACAGCCAAACAAACCCATCCTCTTTGACTGTTGTATAACTGTATTTTATGAAATGCAGTAATTTTGAAGACTTAACTTTTGATTTTGAAAAATGTCTTTGATCCAAACATCATCTTTAGGATTTTTTCACTTCAATCCACAGATTTGCAAGAAATGGAAACTGGAATATTGACTAGGCATAAAAACTAAATGAGCAGAGAGTCATTCCTTGGCATAAAAACTAAATGAGCAGAATCATTCCTTTAACAAAAAATGTGTATTATTTCATTAACATTGACTTCTGAGTAAAACAATAAAAAGACAAATTATTTCAAGCCTGTGATTATTTCAGTTTCTTAAAATGAGGATCCTTTATAAGATAAGGAATTCTGATAAATTATATACACAGGAGAGAGTGAAAAAATACAGACTTTATGGTCTCTGTGGCTGCAACCTTAAAAAATATATAATGAAATCTGAGCTACTTGCTAGACAAGGCAATCACAACTTCAGAAGATTTAAAGTGCATTTTTGCAAACTGCTGAATATCATGGTATTATTTTTAAAGTTTTTAAGAGAAATTGCCACTAATTAATTTGGAGTCACTGTCGCTTTTGCATGTTCCTATTACTATTATGGTTCCTGGAATTATCACAAATGAATGAAGGATTGTTAAGTGACTGCTGCACAATCAATAGATAAACTGACTGTATATGCACAAGATCTATCTGAACACCCGAAAACATATAGCAGAAGGTCATCTGGCAAAATGAACAACTGGTATTTTTACGTGTTTAGTGAGTGTACTTGCCATGTATAAGAAAAAACAATGTCAATATGTTTTAGTGAATTTCATTAATAGCCCCATTCTATTTTTTTGTACTTCTATCTTGAGATTTGGTACCATGGGGGAACAGAAAACCCAAGAAAAATCATTATGCCAATGCAGAAAAAAAAATTTTTGCACATCTATCAATCATGGCCAGCATATCCAAATCCAAGCTAAATATTTGTACAATCATACTCAAATATACTTTTCTGATGTAGGCACATAAGAGAAAGAGTAACAAATTATGACAGTATTAAAATACTCATAATTCAAGATTGCATGGAAGTTATAGACAGAATTTTTTACTATTTCTAAGAGGTAAATAAATATAAAGAACTTAACATTCTGACTAATTTCATAAAAACTTATTGTTCTTCATAAAGTTTTGAATGACACTAGGTTCAGAACTATTTAAATGCAAAAAAAGCATATTTTTCCAGTGTTAGCTACCATGTATAAAAGGTTAAACTATGACAAACTGCAAGATTTTTTTCCCGTTATAACTACATACTTTTGCTTCAAAGCCATCAAGCAGCATGAGTCAGTAGCATGAGGATGATGAAGAGTAGTTGAACGACAAAACTAAAAATGAGTGCCACAGAAATTGATCGTTGTTGCTGCTATATCAATATTACTAAGAAAGAAACACCCAGGAACATTCCATGTATTACATTCTAATTAACTTTAAGAATTTTAAGCTCATGCACTCACAAAGAAGAGCTAACTAACAAACTCCCCTTCCAAAAATTCTCATGTAGTCAATAAGATGGAAGTTTTATTTAGGTTTTTTATAGAGTATGAGTCCCCTAACGTGGTATCAACTTTACAGTTGTCCTAATGCTGGACATGTTAAACACCCACATTGTAAACTGCTTCCTAACATGCTACCTTCACTTCTCTTTAAGGTGTCTATAAAAGGACGAGTTATCCTTTTACTGGCAGAATGAATAAAGATCACACATAAACGAAGATTTATTTTGTTTTTAAACAAAGTTGAGCGGTGGATCTGTACTTCACTTGGCTGTGCTACAGGCATTTTATGAATGCTAAGTCATGACTGAGATAATTAGCTTTGTGCATTTGTGTAATTCTGGTGCTATGTTTTCCAAACGTGTGATCTATTATTATAATATTTAGTAGTGGTGACTTAATGACTTTGCTTACATTAGAAATGATAAAAATAAATTCAACAAACCAAAAAGACCAGTCCTGAAATGGGAAAGAGGTCAGCTTTGGTTATAAAGATTAGCTTTTACAGATTCTTCTCTTTCTGGAATGCCTGTAGACCACAATATAGTAGTAAGGTGGAGGGAAAGAGGGAGAAACCTACAGTGCTCAAATACTTACTATTGATGGCATCGGAATTTTCAGGTTGAGAATTTTAGGTGCTGTAAGACATGACAAACCTTTAGGAAAACCTATCCCACCCCTCAAGTTTATTCAAAAAGTATGCAGCAAGAAGGTGTATATGATTCCAGTTCTAAGAGTAAAATATAGGCACGTAGTTTCAAAAGCCAAAGCATAGTATTCCACAATGACTGTATCAAAGATTCTGCTATATTGTTAATTGTCTTCCTTCACCTATGGCTCTTCTTAACCCAAGAACAGGAAACAAAAAAACTCTAGGAAAAATGGTTTTAAGGAGTCAATAAAAGGCAGGGGAAACAAACCTATGAATCCATGTTTCTGGACTCTTTGGAAACTTGGTTAACGCCAGTTTTCCAAGATGCAAATCTTTAAGAGGATTTAAAGTGCCAGACAGTATTAATTCTTTCCTACAAAAGATAAAATAAATCTGTATGAATAAAAGTAGTAACCTGGAAACATAACACAAATTCCAGTAACAAATTGCAAGGCATTTCCTTTGTATCAGAACTGAACTTCACTGTCAAACTACAAGAGTTTAAAAACCCTTTGGTGGATTCACCCATTCCACTGTGCTATACATATATGCACACTATTCATCAGACCCAGTAAAATAAATCCAGATCAAAGAACCTTATCTTAATCTGAATATACACAATGCATTGGTTCTCAAATCTACCCAGAAATCACTGAGTCAACAGCCAATAGGGTTACATATATGAATAAACATTCCCTCTTGAAATTAAGCCCTAATCTAAAAATACCATTACACACAGCACTCTCCAATACTTACTTTCAGTTTATAAATACTGCCCAAGATGCAGTATCAAGGTTCCCTAAATTTAAAAAGAAGGGGAAACTATTCTTTGTGCGTAGAATGCTTTTCAAACTTAAAAAAAAGGCTGAAATTACGTTTACTTCAGTGTAAAACAACTTTTGGTTTAAGGAAAAAAAAAAAAAGCCCCAACAAAACTTAATGTTCATCCAACACAACCCTTCCCAGAGCACCTCCACCACAGACAGAGCAAAACGAAAGTCCATACTTGGCCTTCTCACAGAATCCTTCTTCTTTGCACAGAATTCCCTGCCCCTCACCCTCTTCCTCCTAGCTTTACAACTCTTATTGCCTGTCCTGACCATGTTTGTAGGCATCACCCCATCACTGGTTCCTCCAAGGACAATTGTCTTCATATCCTATTCTCCAACCTAGTGGGTAGCAGCTTTGAAATAAAGACACAGTAAGTTACAAAGTTACCATCTGCAGAAAGAAAGCATATATTTCCCCAAACCTACAGAAGTCATAATTATAACTCTGAGAGTGAAAGAAGTAGAAGTAATTTTGGCATGGGCTTGGGTTGTGGTTAGGTTTTATTTTAAAATTTATGATTCATCATAACATTAGGCACGACACCAGGTTCAGCAAGAGGAGCATTAGTAAGTAAGGAGCAGATGATCAACTTCATGACCAAAAAAAACCAGGGGAACAGAAAATATCTGCTAACAAGTAAGAAGGTAAAACTTCTCTGCAGTCTGACACAGAATATATAATGTGGTCCTAAAGTCTCACAAACAAGTTGACATATTTCTTTCCTGTGAGTACTTACGTCCTTTTCTGTCTGTTTTGGTAATTTTCAGTAAGAAACTGACTCCATCTGGTACTTTGGCTTTGTGTTGCTTTAACTGAACCGTATACCCAGGGTCAGAGGCTAATGGTTGCAATTCTAGCAGTGAGCAAATATTATTTACAATTGAAGAAAAGTGGTGAAATGTATAAATCCTTAACTAAGTTAAGGATTTATTGCTTCTGATGGCTAGTGAAGTCACTAGAGAACTGCCTGCAGAGATCAGAAACACACCTATTGGGACATTCATTTTTATCTAAACCAAGTTCCAGCATGCTTTAGATTGGATGCTCTTAGCTGGTTTTCCAGGTATACCAGTCGGAAGTGGCAGACTAACCACACTGTTCCATGCCAGTGCCACTGACTTTTGGAAAGCAGGTAAGAGAGAGATTCAGGGAATGTCAACACTGGAGCAGGTGGAACAATTGCCCCACTATTGCATTGCAAAAGGTGACATTTCGGTAAAAATCACCAGACACAATGAAAATGCAGCTTAGGTCGGTCTGACACTTAAATGCATGTGCATATTTAACACAGATTTAGATTACCAGGCCACCTACCTTCCCAAATCAAAACTCTCACTGAAGAAATTGCTCTTCCTATTTTAAAGAACTAACTGTAAATAAATAGGCTCACACTTACATACTTTTAAGGTAAATTTCCTCTTTTGCAAAGTTGAGGAACAGTACAGACAAGATTCACTTTCACTGCTGAGGTAGAAAAGCTGGTTTTAGCTTCAAAGATTTTCATATGAGAGATTCTCCCATTCACAAGGACTGCAATCACAACCAGCATACACTCCTACATATCCCCTCTTCAGGGCTTTTTCAGCTAACATCCAACTTGGAGTATGTAATTTCTAGCTCATTTTCTTGCCACATGGATCATAGATAATTTTTCAGTGTTACGGACTGTAGCTTCCATAAAAGATATTCTGAAATTTTAACTTGCCTTATGTGACACCTTTGAAGCTATTGATATCTAATAGTAAAAACACTGACTTCTCAGAGCATCTTGTTACCTAATATCTTTTGACTTTGAACAATTGTACATGCAAGGAAGTATAACAGCAAGAACAAAAGCACTTATGACAATTCCTTTACAATCACTTACATAAAAATTTTGGTCATTTTAACTTGCAAGATTTTTCAACTTCTAAAAACACAAAATAACAAACTATGATTAAAAACTGGAGATATCTTGTAGCCCATCCAGTATAAAAGGGGTTTTCCTCTCAGCTCTAAGAAGTGACATGCTCCTATTCTTTATCATGTTTTCCTACACCACGCAACTAGCCTTTGCTCAGTTCTCATAGTTTAGGTTATAGTCTCTACTTGCTTTTCTGCAGCTTCCCACTTACTTCTAATTAAAATAGATAAATAAAACACAAGCCTATGTTGTACGTAGCAGACATAATTGCTTAGAATAGCTTTAAAGTCAAAGTAGACAATCTATTCCTTCCTAGCAGGTAGCATGTTTAAAGTTCTACGTTCTCCTGTGCTTCATTAACCAGATACAACTTTCTGTGATTGCCAGATGAGCTGAAATGCTCATTTGCCCTCTACAATGCCACTTCAGTCTTCTGACTTGGCTGAGTGAATTTGGTAGGACAAACATCCCCTGAGCAAGATGAAACCAATCATCCCACAACAGATCCATCATGTTCTGCAAGCAGAGTGCAAATTTGACACAATCAGTTCTCAGTTCATACTAGATCAGGATAAGGATTTATCTCCAGCATCCGTGCAGAACAGAGTCTGTCCATTCTGTGACTGTATATGTTACACATCTGGCTAGCTTGACTTGTAATTTGCTGAAGCAGGAATTTCACAGAGAAGCTGAAATGGTATGTCCACATAACAAAAGTGCCTACCCTTCAAAAGAGCAAACTCCCAGCACCAGCCTGAAACAATGCAGGGTCAGATTCAGCAAAGCAGTTCCTTGGCTAGAGCAGGCTCACTGGTAACTCCACAGATACTGTCTGGCTTACATAACAGCCTCTCCCTGGATGCTAAACCGACCTTCAGACACAGAGTGCCAGCTAGGTCAGTGGTCCAGAGTTTGGGGAGCAATGCCATCTTCTGTAGTAATTTAAGTTAGTAAACCGTAAACATCACAAAAGAGAAAACAACCCATTAACATTTTTAATTCCATTTACTACTTTTAATTACATACACAACTTTGAACTACTCCTCTCATGCACCTAAAAGCTAATTCTTTCAGCTGTCAGGCAGAACAAAAGCCAGACTGATAAGGATGAATGCACATGCAATAAAAAAAAATTCCACAAAACCTAAACCAAAAACTTGAACTCAGTTATAAGTACCATAAGATTACATTACTGTAGTAGCTCTAGTTCTTAAACATGCTCCTAATACCATTTTATCACTTGAAAGCTACTCAAGCTATACATCGTCATGACAGTAAGCCCTTTGCTATCACATTCACCCCTCTTTCTTAGACCTGAGAGGCTAGAAAGATATAGATCACAGCAGAATCCTTCAGAACTACATCAACAGTGAAAGAAGAAAGAAAAAAGAAAAAGTTCAATTCACCATGGCTGGGGCTGACAGCTAAATGCAGCCATTATCTTTCTAGGTCATTTTGTTAACGCACTTTCTACAGTAATGCACCTTAACTACAGAAGTCCTATATTTCTGAGAGCCCTCCTAGAGACTATCATAATTTTCTGTCAGTCCTTCTATAGTTCTGAAACTATACCTTTAAGATTATCTCCAGTCTTACCTAGGCAGCAGAAAGAGAACATTCCTCCCACTCTGAGATTTACAGAAAAATCATAAAATTACAGGGTTGTAAAGAACTGCTGTTTCTGCACTTCCTGAAGAGCAAGGAGGTAAATTCCTGCTTCTTCTCTATAATGACTCCTGAAGAAGTTCTGCAGCATGACCTAGGGTGAAGCTATACTAAACCCAGCAGGTACAAGAAAGGAGCGGGAAGCAGGGGAAATGTGTTTGAAATAGAGGGCAGATACCTGTTCCCCTCCTCTTGTACTGTATCTACTGAGTTCTATTCAGCTCTGACAGACTGCACTGGTAATGGCACCAAACTGAACCAGAATCTCAAAAGGACTCAGGATAGGAGTAAAATAAAAACAGTGACGACACACAACAGACATCAGTTGGGCACTGTGTGACTCAGCAAAAAGGATATGCCCATCTAAAGGTTAGAAATGTCCCTCATTAACTGATAGAAGGAAAGAAGAGTGGAAGTTCAAGGGGACTTACACTCTGAAAATGTGGGGCAAACATGTGACATGTGTCTTCACATGCAGCAGTGTAATCTCTGGTCTGCACTACCAAAAAAAAAAAAAAAGCAGTCCCAAACTATCTGCAACATACAGGATAGAAGAAACTCTTAACATTCCTTCAGAACACTTTAGTGGACAAGCTCTTGCTGTGTCACTAATTACCACTTAAAACAAAGCTTACAGATGACTCACATAAGGCCCAGGTCTTTCTGCTGTCATTCCCTGAGTGCAACATACCTCACATTCCAGGCAGTGGTGAAGTCGGGGTTCAGGAGCAGCAAGGTACACGTGATATCTATCAGCTCTAAAACGATAGAACAAGAGGCACCACGATTAGTAATGATTCACACACAGCAGTGTTCCCTTTGCACTTCCTTTAATCCCTGTCATTCCTCTAAGACTCTCTGCCACGGGCTGCTGTACCTACGTATGACCATCTCTGTAAAATATTGCTGTCTCATTCCAGAAGAAATGATTGCTTAATTTAAGAGGGAGCAAAACCTGCCATATCCTCCCTTTTTATTATTTAAAATAATGAACTGAGTATGCCTTCAGCAAGGGAAAAAAAATTATACAGAATCCTTGTGTATTCAGCAATTTAAATTGCACACAAACTGTATATATCAGAAAAAGAGAATTCTTCACAGAAAATCCAAAGAATTTAAATATGATAGTACAACTAAAAATATACCTTACTATTTCAGTACAAGTCTGAGCTGCAGATGACTGCCATATACCACACTGTTACAAAAAATACTGCAGCTAGAAAAATTAAACACCATAACCATGAATCAGGATTACAAAATTACTATTAAACTGCACAGAAAAACTTTGAAACTTCAAAGAAAAACTTTAAATACATTATGAAGTGCTTCAGACTGAGGTTTTAAGACTAATCCACTAAAAAAATCCAAACAAAAAAATAAACCATGTTTTCCATCCTGCATTTAAGCACTGGCTACTGTAGATTTACATATTACACTTATTTTTAACAATGTCAAAAAAAAGACTGAGGTATACAGTTATTTAGGATGGAAAACTAATTTCATTGTAACCTAGTCCTTCCTTTCCCTTTGCACTCCACCGCACCATTCCAGCAGTTTTGGGTTCCATCAGGGAATCAGTGGGGATTCATGAGGTATCTCCACTTAATCTTGAGATACCAAGGACTGTCATTAACCTCTACTCTCTGAAGGCACAGCATCACATCAACCCGTCCTGAAATCACAAGTCTTACATTTACACAGTAATTCTGCAACTGACCAAGAAGTTCTAAACTGAATGTGACTATCCAAGCTTTTACTGTCAATAACGTTTGGCTACATTCTCTCATAATCAACCTGCATTTAACATACTAAATTCATTGTACTTCAGGTGACTTCCAGTAAATAAAAGGCACTTCGCCACTTGAAGGAAAAAAAAAAATGGTATCTCATGGAACCAGGTCTCTGGTTAACGCAGTTAATATGACTGTAAAATGAAATGTGAAAAAGTCAGTGATGAAATGCAACAGTAATGTAACATTAATGTAAAACAAAGAGGGACATGGCTTCATGTATCTTTGAAAGAAAAGTTAATACCGAAGAGGGTCAAAAAGTGGAATAACTTTGTATATAACTGTATGACTGACTGATCATTTATGTCTGACAAAGTAATTTTGTGTTTCCCGTGGTGTTCTTCCTTACAAGGAACACGCTAAACCATCATATAATGAAGGGGGTTGATGTGGGGTGTGGTGTAGAATTCTTTAGCATATTGTTGATTTTGCACTAAGCTGTGGTATTTTGAAAATTGTCTCAAGGAACTAACTTAACTTTCTATCTTCATGGGTTTTAGTTAAGATTATTTTTTTCCTTTAATGAAAGATTTCCTTTTATACCCCTCTTTGTTGCCAAGGAATGAATTTCTTATACACACAAAGCTTCTTCCTCATTTGCTGCCTTAAGTACAAATATTTTCCTTTGATTTACCCAAACTCTGAACCAGCAAAGTATTTCAACACTTATTTAATTTCATGCAGCTGAATATCCCAAGTCAAATAAGCAGGATTCCTCACATATGTAAAATTAAACATCTACCATGTGTTTTGCTGACTAATATTTCAGTTTTACCTTCAACTTAAACAGAAGCTGTCTACCATTTTATCCATTGTCCCATTACAGAGGTTCGCTGAACATTAACAAAGAAAAGATGCAGACAAAAGGAAAATCTCAAAGTAATACTCAGTACTTTCATGTCAATGTTCTTTGATGCTTTCTGTAAACAGTAACAAATAAAGATTCATGAAATGTGGATTCTGAGCCAGAGATGTCAAATGACACAATTTAGTAACTTCTGAGTCACTTTTCATTGAAAAGTCTTACGACAAACCCGGCACATAATGTCAGTAGTTGCCAGCTATTTCCCTCTGTGTTGGTAAAAAAAACCATCATCTTTTATTTACAATTTAAAAGTACTTTCCACTGGATATATTTTAGGTAAAGTACAGCATTACAGGTGCTCACAATGAACATGTCCTTTTGTATATTAAAGTCTCCCCAGCTGAAAAAGGAGAAATAAAAAAATCCGGCTTTTTTAAATATGGCTGTACCCAGGTTTTTAGATATTCTGGAAGTAGTTTGCAGTAATTTCAGAAAACCATCTTGAGATAATACAAATAGTATGCCTGCATAAATTTTAAAAATATCAGAGAAAGGATAAAAACATATTGTAAAATTAGGTTCTCTACACTGAAACAGTAGTAAGAGAAGCAGTCATGGTTGTGGATTCCAAGAATCCAAAAGAAACTGTAACTAAATTACACATCTCTGACAGTAACCTATCAGAGAATGACTATGAAGCACTTCCTTTTTCCAGGATCCAGCCAGAGAAAATATCAGACACCACATCTGAAAGCAGACACTTGAATCAGCACCCTGTTTTTATCCTCTGTTCTATTTTAAATGGCTTACAGTGACTTGAACAAAACAGAAGAGGTAACAAGAGACTACATTAGCAATCACTGTTTATTACAAGTATCAACAGAATATACAACTGAGTTCTAAAGCAGTAACAAATAAATCTATCCCTTCACTAGATTCAAAAGAAAACAACTACCTGCCAAATTCCAAGCATGCACTTTTGTCTACCAAAAGGAAACTGGAGCAAAATTCCTGATACTTCAAACAGAGAAAAAAGTAACATCTCTTGATAGATTATACCTGCTTATGACACTTTGGAAGTAATTCTCCAAGGTCACCTGGGAAAGACTTCCACCTTTTTCCTTCCACCACTGCAGTTCAGTTTCTGCTAAAACTTCCTACCAAACGTGAAACTCAATTATGGTAAAACATACTAAACTTCTTTACAAACATGTTATTAACATGAGGCCCCTGATCATGTTTTACATTGGTGACACAAAACCTCAGCAGACATGAAAATGCTGTAGATCACCTCTTCTCACGCATTTGAAACTGACTTTTGTAACAGAAGAGACAAAGGAGAATGGTGTTTCATTTTCAAAACAAACTCAAAAGTTGCAAAATACAGGCAGTAATCTAAAATTCATGCTACTGCAGTATTCATCCACACAGTTTTATGATCTGCATTTTGAGAGGAAGGGTTCTGCAAGGTTTCATCTGGGAGGGAAGCAGAGACACTCCTCAAGCAGTCGGTGCACCCACCATCCTGGCAGTACCAGTAGGTGCAACAGTGTCACGATAACACAGTGCCTGCACTGGTGTGACTGCAGCAGGGTGGCAGCACACCAGCATCCAGCTGCCCTTTAGATAACAGCTATCAGAGGTCATTGGACACCCAAAAATGTGACACAAATCTCAGCGTGTGTAGTTTGGCTTGAAACAACAAGTTTCTGTCTGTGTAAATACTTCAAAGGGTAGACTTTACCCTAACAATTAATTGAGACCAAAAATGAAGTATCCCCGCAGGAGATCTGCAGCATGATCACAATACACATCACAAACTCCTGTCTCAGACCTGTAAAAAACACTGCAATGACAACCACTGGTGTTGCTAAAACTGGCTGTGCTAGTAGGTTCAACTCTTTAAATGCTAAAGTCTGTATCTGGCTACGTCTCAGACTCAACATTAATTATATTCCCTATATTAAAGCCCTTTTTATTAAATTTACAATACTTATATAATTAACCTTCTCTGCCATTTAATGTTACTCTTCAAATGCTTGCATTATATATCCAGTTTGTAAGAAGGAACTAAAGTGTTTCATAAATCTAGACCCCCACCTTCAGGTAAAAAAAAGTAGGCAATATTCACTGCCTTTCATTCCTTCATTCATTCAAAGGTTCACTAAAGACCTCAATCTTCTCTCTCTGTATCATCCCCAAATGCAAAAGAAACTCAAGTGCACATTTATATAAACTCAACTACACCATCTGACTGCCCCTTACATTACAGTTTAATGAGGATAAGTGCACAGCTGGCTTCATCCACTTAAAGTGAAACAGAGTACAGTAACAAAATACTAGAGAAAAGCAAATGCCAGTTATATCAAGAGAGGGATGTTACTGACCACACATTTTTTCTGATCTACACAGGCCTACTCTCAAAGCTATCTGTTTGAGACAGTACAACACACTACCTACATGATGACTAAATGCCAGTTTGCATCAAATATCTGCTACTATCCCACTACTTAAACATAATACTTTAACTCACTACTTCATAAAGCAGCCTGGGAGATTGCCTTTGCTATAGCTGCAATCAATACAACCCGGTGAATAGGGGCTGTCTGGTATGCTTCAACAGGGGAAGACCATCCCACACATTTTAGCACACAATGGACACAGCCAGTGCCTTAGGGATAATTACATGTAAACAGAAAAAAAATAAAATACGATAACAGCCCCAAACTGAAACCCAGCTGCACGTTAAAGATCTGAACTTTTTAAGAGGTCACAGGGTGCCCTTGACCAGAACAGCTACCCCTCTGAGAAACAAAAATGTGAAAAATACCATAGCAGGTAGAAGATATTAGAAAGAAGTCTTAAAAAGAATAAACATCAGAAATAAGACACTGAGATAAGCCTAGCATAAGAACATTCTTTATTCCAATTGCTATTTAGAAGAGACTGCAACAATAAACAAAAATTTCATTTCATAAACTAGTTACTCTTTTTCATTCTTACTCCAAACTGGACACTTAGTAAGCAGTCAAATATTTCCTGTGTCACAGCTATTTATAAATCTTTATTTTGAATTTTTTAAACAACATATACTAAAGAATCTTTCATGCAAGTCATAATAAACTAAAAACCAAAACAAAACAAAGAGATGAGAAAGGAAATAAAACTTTACAATTACCAAGACACATAGACTAATGATTTCTGGTACCCCTACATCTGAAACACACTGCACTTGTTTCTTATTTCAGATACATGTATCACCAGTTTTCCTTCTGAACCAGGAAAGAAGGAGAAAATTCCTTCTGTATCAATTAACATCACTTCCATAAATAACTTACTGAAGTAAGTTGTCTCTCTCTAACCTTTCCAGCTTGGGTAAGAGAGAAAAGATTGTTCAAGTTGGCAAAATGCACTACCCAAAGCCTGCTCTTCTCCTCAGAAATAATCATTTCTTCCATAACAGGTTGAACTGGCATTATGAAGGGTAAGTGACCTGGAAAAGGGAATTGAGTGCACTCTCAGTCTGTCCACAGATTACACCAAGTTGAGTGGGACTGTTGATCTGCTGGAGGGTAAGGAGGCTCTGCAGAGGGATCTGGACAGGCTGGACATGGGCTGAGGGATACTATATGAGGTTCTAAGAGGTCCTGTCCCAGGGTCACTATAACCCCATGCAACGCTATAGGCTTAGGGAACAGTGGCTGGAAAGCTGCTTGGCGGAAAAGGACATGGGGGTGTTGGCTCAGAACTGGCTGAACACGAGCCAGCAGCATGGCCGAGTGGCCAAGATGAACAGTGGCATCCTGGCCTGAATCACAACAGCGTGTCCAACAGGACTACGGCAGTGACCGTCTCCTTGTACTCACTGACACACTGAGGTGCTGGAGCGAGTCCAGAGAAGGCAACTGGAGCTGGTGAAGGGTCTGTAGCCCAGGTCTTATAAAGCAGAGCTGAGAGAGCTGGAGGTGTTTAGCCTGAAGGAAAGGAGGCTTGGGGGAACCTTATCACTTCTATAAAACTACATAAAAGGATGTTGTAGCCAGGTAGAGGTCAGCCTCTTCTCCCAGGCAACTAGAGACAACACAAGAGAAAATGGTCTCAGGCTGCACCAGGAGAGGTTTAGGTCGGATACGATGAAAAATTTCTTCACTGAAAGTGTTGTCAAACACTGGAACAGGCTGGCTAAGGAAGTGGTGGAGTCATCATCCCAGGAGGTATTTTAGAAGATATGTAAACACTCAGGAACATGGTTTAGTGGTGCACTTAGCAGTGTTAGGTTTATGGCTGGACTTGATAATCGTAAGGGTCTTTTCCAAATTACATGATTCTATGATACACAAAAAACACGCACTAAGAACCACATAATATACTATTCTCCAACTGGGTAACTTACCATCTTTGTTCAGCCACTGTTTTCTTTGTTTGTAGAGGAGAAGTTTATTGTGGACATATGGCAAAAGAAACTTGACACACCAGCTCTCCACACCAAGCTTGTTTTCTACCAGGACAATAGGGCTCCGGTTATACCTGGCTTCAGGGCAGGGTATTAATCCAATTTCATCTCTTAAAAAACAGAAAGAAATATAATTAAACTTATTTCCAGCAGATAACAATTCTTTTTCTCAATGGAGCATGCTGGCAATGCTTCCCACCCAATCAGTCCGTCATCTTTTTTCCTTGTTTTTCCTGAAATCCGTAATGTGAAAAGTTTTATTCCGTTTTCCCAAAGATCCTAAATGAGGAAGGCCCCTTTTTTTTCTATATTTTTAGATTATCACCTAAGCAGTTTAACTCAGCTGAACTAACACAACTACTCCTGTTTTTTTAATAAACAGGCAATGGAGCTGTAACAATGCTACTGCAAGGGAAACAAAACATGCTAACTTGTACAGGCACTTCACTGATCCAAAGGTACCCATGTGTGCCCCGCAGCAGCATAATCAGGTGCTCTAAACCAAAAGATCACACAGAACAAAATCACATAGACAGTCACATGCTCGCTTCCTCATGTCCCATTTTTCATTGTCCTATGCGAGGCAGCATGATCAACAGGGGGAAGATTTGAGACACAGAGGCTAGTCTGAGCAAAACGGCAACTCTGTATGAGGGACCTTAGCCTTTAAAAAAACAGTGACAAACACAGAACTTGTGCCAGCAAACAGAGCAGAAGAGACTCAGTTGTTTAGTTTCAATGTGCCATACCATATTTTACTTTTTCCTCAGGTTTCTCTAGCTCGTAACGATATTGGAATAGCAGTTTTAACAGCTTCTTAAAAAAACCCACAGGTTGTCAAGCATTCACACTTGTTTGGACAGAAAGCAACATTATTTTATATTTTTTATTATGCATAATTTCTCCACCAACTCCTGTTCAGTGGAAAAATTTGTTGCTAGAGAGGGAAATCCTCAGATCTCAGGCAGGACAAAGAAGATTTCTTGTGATCTCAGATAAAAAGTGAATTCCCCACCTCAAGTCTTCTCAATAAAAAATCTATAGATACACTTCGAGTGTCAACCCCTCAACCTCAACTCAATTATCTTAAATTAATTTTGTCACTGGGCACTTTGAGTGTACTGATTTAGTTCTGTGTCCTTACTGGATTACTAATAAAGTAATCACAGTGACACAATGTGGTCATTTAAGAATGTATTTGCTTATTCAGAAAACAGATTTAATCTTCTATACATCACAACATCAGAAGCCATAAAGAACACAAGTAAGGTGAACTTAAGGTAAGACACTTGCAAATCACGTGGTTCTGTTTCCAAACACACATCCAGCTTCCTTAACCTTCCCTGGTCATCTGAGGACAGAGGGAAGAAAAGAAAACCATTCTCCTACCCCATCACCAACAAGCAATGGGTATCAAACCAATATCCTAATCTGTGCTACTCCATTTAACACAAGTTAAGCTCTTCATGAAGCTAGTCAGATCAAACCTAAAATGACATTCCAATCTACTTATTTCAACACAGTATCTCAATAACCTGAAATTTGTACTTACTACTGGGTCTTTTCTTTTACGAATGTTAAACCCAGCCAGTCAAACTACCTGGCCTTGCATATAAGGACCCAAAAGTACCCAAATAAAATGAAGATACAGTCACCCACAGCTTTGTTCATTAACTCTGTAATGAATAACTTAAGAATTTACCAGCTATAACTTACAAACAGAACACCAAAGCAGGAGAGAAAAACAGTAAACAGCAAGGAGAGAAAAATCCCCAAAGCATACATTCACATCTTCACTTTCTACCAAACACAAAAAGTCTGACTCAGGTGAGCTGTTTCACAACACTGCTTTGAACATGCCAAAATGTTTGACAGGTACAGTTTGCACAAAGCTGACAAGTCAGCCGGGAACACCCCAACTCCAGAATGCACTCAGGCAGTCAAAACCACAAGAGGACTTGTCCACTGTATAGCAAAATTCACTAAGACACAGTGCAATACAAACAACGGTTTATCTGGTAACTACTCAGTTTTTGCTAGGATGTAAACCAGGATCTGTCATTTGGTAGGAATCTTGTCTCCAACACTGTGTTATTGCTTTTGATGATCATGTGGTTCAGAATCACAGAATATGCCAAATTGGAAGGAACCCACATGCATCATCGAGTCCAACCCTTAGCCCTGCACAGGACCATTCCCAAGAGTCACACCATGTGCCTGAGAGTGTTGTCCAAACACCTCTTGAGCTCTGTCAGGCTTGGTGCTGTGACCACTTCTCCAGGGAGTCTGTTCCACTGCCCAACCATCCTCTGGGTGAAGAACCTTTTCCTAATATCCAACCTAAACCTCCCCTGACACAACTTCAGGCCATTTCCTCAGGTCCTGTCACTGGTCATCATACAGAAGAGATCAGTGCCTGTCCCTCCTCTTCCCCTCACAAGGAAGTTGTAGACTGCAATGAGGTCTCCCCTCAGTCTCCTCTTCTCCAGGCTGAACATGCCAAGTGACCTCAGCTGCTCCTCATAAGGCTTCCCCTCAAGGCCTTTCACCACCTTCGCTGGCCTGCTCTGGATGCTCATTAATAGCTTAATATCTTTCCTCACATTGCATTTGGTTCCTGAGAAGCAAAAGAATTCACAATGCAAAATACCAGTAAAATGTATTTATATAAGGTGGAGTGCCTATCTCACACACAAAACAATTCATTCAAGCCACCATCGATTTATGCTCCTGAAGGTCCCTCAGGTGTGTGGAAGGACTAAGTCAAAGGGCAGGTCTGCCAGCCCAGGAGGCCCTATTCAAATATACCTGCAGCCTCTGCTCCAATCATGTACCCGAGGAAAGATTCTGCAATAGGACTCACATGCAGACATTGCTGAATTACTGCTTGCAAAATGAAGCAACTGACCACGTAAACTGCCCCGGCCACATGACAGAAGTTGTGCCTGTTCCTATGACAGGACCGCCCAAACTCTTTGCAGGATGGAGGATTCATGCATTTAGATGAAGTGACAGGTGCAATCTGCTCACAATACTGAAGGTGACACCAATTGAGGGCTGCTGTTCATTGGTATTTGTACTGGCAGACACACCATCTAAAGTAAGGTTCAATTTCTCTCCCTAGATTTCCCAGGCTTCTGATATTATTTCTTGAAATTTAGGAGTTATTTGGTGCTTTCACATTTATTTTCCTCAAAGCAAGCACCACAGTCACATTCCAAAAATTTCATGCATTATCTCAAGATACACATAAGAGCACATTCCTAAAATACACTGTGGAAGCAGTCAGAACTTAGTGGAAGATTTTAGGTGAGTTGTCATGAAGTCTGCAGCCACTACAGTGCTTCTTCAACCTTAGCTAAGATCAGAGATGTGCAAAATGACATCTGTAGCGGCACAATCCAGACCTTAGACATGGCACAACAGTACTGACAAGCCATTGCAGGACCTGCTTCAATAGTCCCTGTTTGTTGACCCAATCATTCAGTGGCCCTCCCCAAAAGAAACCCTAGCCAACCTACTTTCAACTTTTAAAGCCATGACGATACAAAAAACTTCCCCCTTTCACAAAACTATAATACCACAGTACCACTAGGGAAGGAGGTATTCTGTGTGATGATATCATGATGGGTGTTCAGCTTTAGAGACCCCACGTGAAGGGACTTTCTCTAATTTCTTTTCTGAAAGATCATCTTTAAAATAACACAACCTCTCACCACAGAGTTAGACAAAGGGTGTTAAATAATGGCTGGGAGATCTAAATGAGGTACAATCAGCGGATATGATGCAACTGTGGTTCTACTGGCAGTAAAGACCAGACTCAAGTAGTTGAATATTTCTGCAATTATAAGAACTTTAATACTGGAAGACAATCCAGAGTATGGGCATAGGTGTATATTTTCACATTAAAATAAGACTCATGAAATTGCTATGTGGATAACGAGTTTACAGCATCTCAGATGTAGGGAAGAGGGGACCTAAATCCAAGAGCTGAAATTTCTTCTCTTTATTGTGCAGTGTATCATATACACTTGATTCTCTTTTACAATTTCAAATAATAGACTAACTTGCATGTTATGATTAGTGATTATTTTCATGGCATTACCAAAATCTTTCATAAAGAAAAGAACAGTAATACATTACTGAAATCCAAACTACTTCTAGCCCATATTTACTTCTAAAGAAGCTATAAATATGACACTTTTACTGTTTAGGAATTTCCTTTTGTTTGCTCTCACATTAATTTTTTTTACTTATTATGGTATATTTGGAAGTATCAGTGCTGCACAAAAGTATCAAATAATGAAAATTACATTGGCGAGACAAATGTCATACTCCACTACATACAGACTTCACAGAGTATGTTATTTTCTGAATCCCCTACAGAGAAATTTGTAATCCCATCAAGAGGATCCTTGACTCAGAGCCTTCAAACTTAACAGAACGAAGTGTGGTGTTTCTAGAACATTAAGAATGACAAGAATTGAGACAGAAAAAAATATTTGATCTACAGTGACATAAACAATTCTTGGCAAAGCATAAATAGTATCCTCAGATTTTGTACACAAATGCTGGGCTACCATCTAAGAGTTCATTTTTCCAGTTATGTCCAACAAATCCATGAACTTTTTTGACAAGCACATCTATTTCTGCTTCACTTTACATGTAAAAGAACAGCAAAGCTCAAAGAAAAAGTATGTATTGATCTGTTCAATGTTGGTGATCTGTTCAGTTCCAGTGGAATAGCTCACATACATGACTTTACCAAGACCTGTGGTTGGAAGACTGGGTAAAAATACCTCGCAGTAAATTCAAAAGATGCCTTAGAATATTGAAAACTAGCATGCTGACACAGTTATCTAACTAAGGAAAATGGAGCTATCGGAAAGAAAAGGCAAAAAGAATTTTGCGCTGTATATTTACTTAGAAGTAAGCTCATCTTAAAAAGATATACAGTCTTGCTGCAAATTTCATTTAAAGAAAGAAAAAAGAGAGAAACATAAATCCTAAATTCTACTTAGTCTAAAACTGTATTTTCAGAACTTTTCAGTGCTGATCCTATTTTAAAGCTTACCAAACTACAAACCTGCCAAAACAACACATCCATTCTGAGAGATGTGAAGTGGGAAGGTGCACAAACAGTCAAAAACAAGGGTCAATAAATACAGGAAAAGAGGTGAGTAGGGGACAAAAGTATGACAAGTCAATAGGAACATTATGCCTGTGGCAGATTCCTTATTTTCAGTGAAGCTAGGCAGATCCCACATAAACGAATTCAAGCCTGGATCTGTGACATGCTGAATTCAAGAGAATACCTTCTTTTAGGGACTGCAGCTGTTTACAACCGCACTGGCCACCAGCAGGAGGACAAGATGCAGATACATGAAAACATCCAGACAGCAGAGCTGCAACTTAGATTAGCTCAGCTGGTTAGAGCATGGTGCTAATAACACCAAGGTTGTGCATTTGATCCCTATATGGGCCATTCACTTCAGAGTTGGACTCGATGATCCCTCTGGGTCCCTTTCAACTCTGACTATTCTGTGAACTATGTGAATCCCTTGGTGCTCCAGAGGCAGAGAGGCAGCACAGCAAAGGGCCCACAGCCTACACTGGCCTGCATGGTCCCACTTCAAGTAGTGTCAACCAGTCAAGAAATATAGCAGACAGAATTGCCACTTTTTCTACTTTGGGGGATAGCACAAGCTACTGCAAGTTTTTCTCACCTGAAGCATGACACAGTGCATCAGTTTCACTGTACACAACTCTTGCAGTGTGCTTTCATCTCTGAGATTATATTTATGACAGAAAACTGCAACAGCAGCATATCCTTCAAAAACTCAGTTTGCTACCAATAAACAATTCTGGTGAAGGAGTGGGAACTCAGAAGAATCAGAACATTCATTCATAAATATCGACTGTTTACAGCACATTATGCCTCACATGCTAAAAATGAAGCTCAAGGCAAAACACAGTCTTTTTTTAAACAGCATCCATATGCTGCATTTTAAAAACTGAACACCCACCCAAGTTGCTTACTACATTTACAGAAATATGAGGGTATTTATTCTAATTCTTTTAAGCAAAGGGATAAATTAAGTGCCATAAAATTTCCTACATAATTGCTTAGCCTACCATTTTCTGGAACAGATTAATAGGCCACCACCTCAGAGACTGCAGTGTTCCCAACCGACACAAATACACCTCACTTAAATCATGAAGGTGTTATTCATTATGTAGTAATTTGCCATAACCAACATGGAGCTTGCACAAATAGATAGAAAGATGCTTCCCTAAACCACTGCTGTCTTAAAACAATGGCTGTGAAGGAAAAAGAAATAAGGGAGGTACTTTAAACAGGGTGTCTAAGCTGGTCAACAGTGAAACGGAAAATAAACCACAGACCATCTGCCCCACAGATTGTTGGATAAATCTGATTCTCACAAAGCAGTCATAACTGCAGTTTGTATTTTCACGGTCATTCTGTCTCCTTCAAAACAACACACTGGCATCTCTATCAACAGACACAGATTTGAGGGTGGCATTCACACACTGCACTGTTTGTGTAAGGGTGCAATTCAGGAGGCTTCAATCCCGAGCTTTGTTCCCACCGGCGCCGATGCTCTACCCCAGGCACACACAGACCTCGGTGCGTCCCGCGGGGCCCGGCAGGGCTGACCCACCCGCCCGCAAAGCTCAGCCCCACACCGACGCTGCCATGAGTTTAACACCAACAAAAGTCAAGCGCGAGGAAAGTTCACTTCAGAACTTTTCTTTGAAAATATACTCGTCCCTTCCAGATTCCGGAGGCCCCGCTGGTGTCCGTGCCTCGACATCGGTTCTCGCCGCCAGGCTGTGGATCCCCAGCGGCCGCGGCGCTCAGGGGCCCAGGCTCCCGGGGCAGGTCCGCGGCGCTACCGGGGGAAGCTGAGGCTGCTGCAGCGCACCGGACACGCGGGGGCACCGCGCCCTGCCCGGACAGGCACAGGTGCCACGGCAGCTCGGAGAAAACCCGGCTGGTCCTCGCGGCCACTCACGGCGTGACCTTGGGCCCGGCAACCGGCCCTGGCCCCAGCACCCGGCCCCGGCAGGACCCGCCCGCGGCCGCGGGGCGAGCACGGGGCGGAGGGCGGGCGGCGCTCCCTCCCTTCCTCCCGCCCGGCCCGGCCCCGGCCGCACTCACATGTGCGGGTTGCGCTGGAAGGCGTTCCGAATGTCCTTCACGACCCGCTGCACCAGCACCGCCACCTCCTCCGGCGACTCGGCCATGTTCCCGCAGGCCCCGGCGGCCGGCGAACGCTTCCGGGGCAGCGCGAACTGCGGGGAGCGCCGGGCGGGACGCGGGCAGGGCGGGGGCCGGCAATGTGCGCGTCATTTTGTCGGCTTGGGCTTCTGTTGTTTTAACAGTCGCGCTAGGCGCTAAACCACGTATCTTTAAACGATGGGCAGGTGTGTATAGCCTTCCTTGACTCCGAAGAGAGATGGGAGCGCTTATCTTCAAGGCTGAATGCGGAGAGGCGATTGTAGTTCTGCATCCTAACTCTTGCGTTCGATTGTCGTTTAGAAATTAATACGTTATTCCGAAACAAGTTGTTTCACAAGGCATTAACTGTGCATGACTGAATTGTCTCTTATTTGAAGGCTTGCAATGTCATCACCATCATCATCATCATCATCATCATCATCATCCACTTCCTTGTTACTTCCAACCCCCCTCCCCCGAGAAGGCCTGGTGGACCCTTCTGTATGTTCTCCTTCAGGGAAAAAAAAAAAAAGAGAGACTGGAGAAAAGTGCTCAGTCGTATGTCATCATATGTATAAAAAACCAGAAAGGTGGATGTCCCTTAGAGAAACACTGAATGTGTTCTTACCTGCTGAAGTTTGCAGTTTTTTGCTGGATTTGTAAGTAAACCAGCCTTAAAGTTGAGATGTGTTTCATGTTGCCTCTTGCATTTCTGTTAGTTAAATTTTGTTATATTTTAGTGACTGTTGAAAGGTTACAGTGCTTTCTTAGGTTGTTTTCTTTATGCATGTTCCCTGAGATAATAATTTTAGGTGTTTATGAATGCCCTTTTAACCTATAAATTGCTGTATTTTTCTACATACATGCCTTATTCTTGTTTTCACAAAGTGCTTTGTTTTTGTTCTGTTTAGGCTGATATTCCTCTGGTTGAAAGTTATGTAGAGCACATACCCTGGAACTAGGAGCCAGGATTTCCTGCTTTCCCAATTCCCGTGATTTTCTTTTTTGTTCATCATTCTGCACTGGGGACTTTGTTACAACACTTTGTTACAATTTCTGTAGATAATCTGAGGATCTCTTGGTGCTCCCACATGTCAAACCATGTAATTGCAGAATTCTGAACTATGCTGGCTAAGCAGAGCTCTTTACTCATAGAATATAGTATGGAGAGAAAGAAAATGCAGTTATGGCAAAGAAGAGTATTCACGTAGGAATCTTTCACCGAGAAACTATAGTTGACTGGGCTGCAGATTCAAAGACAATAGCATCCTGAGACTCTCTCTGTTTTTTTTTTTTTCTTCTGAGTTACTTTGTGGATCTCCTAAGATGAGTAAATTGAGGGTCAAATGCTGGTATAGTTCTATTAGACACCTTTTTAATAATGAAACTGTAGCTGCTGGGAAATGCTTGGACGTGAAGACAGGGACGATTACAGGATCGCCACTGGTACGGATTCCAGAGCCTGCCCCAGGACAGTAGGGGGCGAAATAGCACTTTATCCCTCGTACTTTTAGGGACGTGACCCACCTTGGATTGCAACTCCGGCTGCGGATGGATAGATGGATTCCCTCTCTGTGGCTGTGCCAAGAAAATACCATGGCTGACTCCTCTTGATGAGAATGCTGTCTAGAATACTGCCTGTGAATTTACAATACGGATTGATGTTTGAATTCTACTCCTAAAAAACCCACGAAGACATAAAAGCATACTGCTCAGGGCCTTTCCTAATATTAAAATCACTTATTGCATTTTTTTTTGCACCAAGTAGCTTTGACTGTAGGCTTGTTTACTAATGGATTGTTATAGTTTCATACTACTTTTTTTTTTTTTTTTTTGGTGAATTTTCCAAACCAACAGTCTTTGCTACGATAAGATAAGCTTCAGGTTTGATTGTTTGTCTAGATTGTTTGTCTAGCTCGGGCCTTGATGACTGTCCTATTGAAACGCACACCCACTGGAATGATTAAGGGAAACCCCATCTTCCTGTAGCCACGATGGAGAGGTTGGCCCAGGTGGGGGGTGGAGTGGGGAGCATTAGGCAATGAGCCTTTTAGACTGGAGCGGTGGGGGGGAGGCGTGGAATTTATTTCACTTCTGCCCTACTTCTTTGGTGGGGTGAAGGGAGACCACAGTTTTCCACCGTTTCCATCCTCTGCTGGTTCCATTGCCTTCGGCACTCGGTGGTTACTTTGTTGAGACTCACAGAAGCTTGGGAGGGGTCCCGGCTCACTCCCCAACCACACGTGCCCTGTGATGGTTTTTCTCTGTGGACTGCCACTGATGTGAACTGTATGTTTGTTTGGGAATAATTAGGTAGCGCTGATGGATCCCATACTGAGTGGGCTTGAGTCCACCCCTGTTCCCTGGTGTCTTTACTTGAGGTAACAATTGAATCTGGTGCATATTATTGAGCTGAGTCGTTAGCAAGGAAAAGGACCCTGTGTAAAAAAGCCACACGCGGTTGTGGAGGGTTGGCCCAGAAACAGTGAGCTCACAGCAGCCACACTAATGTGAGAAGGTGAGAAAGGTGCAAGGAATGACAAAGGGATGGGCTGTGGTATGCGTTTTAGGGCCTGTTGTGGTACTGCTGCACATTCTAGAACCATCCAGTGGGGAAAAAATCCCTGCAAGTGCTCATTCACCCTCATAGTGAAAAAGTGTCTGCTGATGTTTCTAGGGAATTGCCTGTGTTTCAGTTTGTGCCCATCGCCTCTGGCCTTGTCACTGGGCACATCTGTAAAGAGTCTGGCTCCATCTGCTGTGTACCTTCCCTTCGGGTATTTGTACACATTAATAGGATCTGAGCTTTTGCTTCTCCAGGGTGAACTGTCCTATCTCTCTCAGACTTTCCTCAGAGGAGAAATGCTTTGCTTCATTCATCACCTCTGCATCCCTTTCGTAGGCTCTCTCTGGTATGTCCATGTTTCCTGTGTACTGGGGAGCCCAGAACTGGACGCAGCAGTCCAGTGTGACCTCAGCAGTGCAGAGCAGGAGCAGGATCACATCCCTCCACCTGCTGGCAACATTCCTCCTAATGCAGCCCAGAATGTGCTGGCACCTTTTGTTTTGCCACAAGGGCACACTGGTAGCATAATGAGCATTTATCTCTATGTGTGTCACAGAACTCTGAACTGGACCTCTGAAATTATAATTTCTTGCAGAAATTATGAATGCGTGATGAACTGAAAGACCTGCTTCAATAAAATGTTTGAAGGACTTCATATTTAGAATTTTCCCGTGATCAACCCAGGCCTTTAACCAATGACCTAAAGACATACTTATGGAGGGGACCTGATGTGGATATGGCCTGAAAATATGTATGACACTATATGATACAAATATGATTAAAATTTAATCTATTTTAAGATAAAAGTTTTCTGTATATATCAGTTGGGAAGAGGGATTGCTGAAAAACAAATATTTAAATAATAAGTGAGATAATGCATGCTGAAGATGGCACTTCTTAATTTATTTTGCTGAGTTTTTTACCCTTTTTGGCTGTGGAAGGCAGGAGAAGCAATATTTTGTGACAGATACATATTATTAAGACTTCAGCAACAACCTTCCCTGAATGTAGGAAATAATGTCAACCTCTAACAAATTCCTGTAAAACGGTTTAATTCATATCAGTTTTCTGTCATTAATTGTGTACTATTTAAACATTTGTTCATACCAGAATACAGTAAATCTAGAATCTCAGACTAATAGTGATTGATTTTCAGGAAACTGACAGAATGTGTTTTAGACTCTGAGCCATTTTCTCAGACTGTCATCCAGATCACTTTAAAATATTCATTATTTTAATTTTTATTATGTCAGTTAAACAACACTACACATCTATATGGTGTAAGATATCCATAGCAGAAGAAAAAGTTTGGGAAGATTGTAACAAACTTCAGCCAGTGTAGGTCAGAACTGCTTTTTATTCTGTGCTTGGTTGTTAGTAGGTTGAGTTTCCCTTCCAGGACTAGGAAAAAAGCAGTAAAAAGATGTTGACTTCCAAACTTAGATACTTATGCTCAAAAAGCGTAGATAAAATGAAGAAAGGCTGTTTAAATGAAAAGTCATATGCTAGAGGACATGATGTAGCTTGCAGAGGGAGAGCCTTTGTATGTATTTTACTCCTTTTTTCTGTTCTTCTTTGATCTTTTGGTGCAGATATAGCTGACCTTACCCAAACTTCACAACTGGATGTCAGTAATCAGATGTTCTGGTGCAACTCTTGGCAGAGACAACTTTGTAGTACTCTGTATTGCATTTTACAAATAGAGGTGTGGTTTATTTTTTTTCTTTGCCTTGAAACCGTTGTCATTTCAGTGAAGACCTGTCAGCATGCTATTTTCAAATATATTGATTGCACAGTATAATACTTAAGTATGACTATATACACATAGTGGCAAAATCTTCTGCTAGTCTAGATGTAAAAGAATATGTAATATATACTACTGTGACAGTATAAAAATATATCTATAATAAAAATAAAATAAAGCCATAAGAAAAATAAATGTTACTGTCTGTAAGCCTGCTAGCACTATAATGACTTTGAAATAAAGAACACTAAATGATGAAGACTGTTTAATTCCTGGTAGGAAACCAAGGATTTCTAACCTATTTTGGGACATTTTACATGCTGGATCCTTTTAACTTTTGATGGAAAATATGCATGTATCTAAACTCCTGAGAAGTAATTAGTTATACTTTAGGATTATTTCCTGGTGTTTTGTTCTACTCCCCAAATCCAGAAATACCATTTTAAGCATTGTACCATAATGGGGTATAGCCTGCTCTGCAGTGCAGAGGCACTGTTTGTATCAGTGCTATTCACCCACAAGACTGATTTTATGCAGATCTGTACCTTTGTGGTATCACTGATGTAGGTAATGTATGGTTTCAGGTACCACTGTAAGATACTGGCCTTTTATTTAATATGTATACATCTCTTGCCAAATGAGTAATTTAGATGGTTCTCACTCTAAAACACATAACGTCAACTTACTCAATTTTGGTAGGATTTTGTATTGAACTCCGTTTTTGCATAGGTCAGGTGCCTACACTGAACAATTATGCCTGATGCCATATTGGTGTCTTACCTGTCACAT